CAAATTGCCCCCCCCCCCCCCAGCGTATCCTGGTTTTCAAGTACCCCAGCGGGGATAGGGTTAAGAGTTTGAAAATGCGCGAAAAATTATTAGTAAATCCGTGAACTTTTTTTGGTTCAAAGAGAAGATGCTCACAGATAAAGCCACAAATTCAAGTTGAGATAGAAGATGCCTAGTAAGCATAAATGTATATGTTAGATGTTCACTTAATTTTCAAAAAAACTTCCTTTCTGGGGCCTATTTTTTTCTTACCTTAGCTTGAGCAAGGCCAGCGGCCATCTTTGATTTTAACCTGCGCATAACGTCAGGGGTCCGCGGTAACGCATGACCGGGAGACTTGGATCTAAGCAAACAGTTTATTGGAAATCGACCAATGAAAGCAAGTAAATCAGCAATTTTTTTTACTTTTTCTAATATACAAAGAAAAGATGGAAAGTAAAATAAAAAAGCTTTAAGAAAGAAAGGCTAAAGACATAGTTTTANCCCCCCGTTATTGAATTCAATTCGATTTCCTTGGAGGAAAACTGAGCAATAAAAATTCAAAATTAACAATAAAGTGCTGATGAAAAACTATGAAAACTAGCGAATAACTGCGTGAACCCTCTTTTAAAATATGCCTGGCTACAAAATATAATTACACACTTAAATCAAGAGGATGATTAAATAATTATATTATTTTTAAATCAAGAGGATGATTAAATAATTATATTATTTTTAAATAAAAATAACCTGGCTCTTGCAGTAGAGGATGTAAGGCTTTTACTTATCTAAAATTAAAGGAGACTTTACAAATAGCTCTTTTAATTTTTTTTTAAATTAGAAAAATAAACAATGATTCCCTCCTTGAGTAATTTTTAAGGTAGAACAAGGACCGAATTTAATGAATTTGAGCTAGGCCTCTGAACTAACTACAAATCCTGAATCACCGATTTAAAGTTTAAGATTCATGAGGATTGAGATTTGAAGCAGTGATTCAGGATTTGGACCGGAGGTGGGAAGTTCATCGACCTCTAGTTCATGGACAAACTAGAGGGGGAAGGGGGCTTTGAAGTGATAAAGGGGTGCAGAAATATAAAATACACCCCGAATGATTTTGTGTGTGTGGGGGGGGGGGAGATATGAAAAAATTTGGCATCAACTGACAAGCCCTCCCACCGCCCTAGATACAAATTCTCATGTAATTCATCCCCTAAATCAGCGGGGGGACTAAACAAACAAAAACATCCCGAAAGGGTTTCTTGAAAGGATTAAGTAAAGTTATGGGTATAAAGGGGTAAGGGGCTTCAAATGGATATTAAATGACACCTGTGAAACTGGAATCCTAGGAGCCTCTACATTCGTACCTAGTCTCTTAGGTTTCAAGGCAGGAGAGCGCCTAACAAACAAATATTAGTACTGAGTATCTTAGGAAGAACGATTCATAACGGTACTCTGAAAACCCGTGGTCTTATCAAGTATGAATCAGTACCGTTGTGAATCAGGCGTGTCACTCTTTATAAATTTTATTATTATTTAAAACTGTCCAATCAAAATTAGAATGTCGATCCTTAGCACTGGCTTTAGGCCACATTAAAAAAAAGTGCACACAGCCGTAGTCCGATTACAATAGATCGGTAAATCCTTGTACCGGTTCGAATCATGCAACGGTTGGCATCATGTGAATACAGTCAAGGCATACTCATTCCCATGATTTGCTCTAAATGATGTTTAAAGCTTCTCAAACTAAAAAACGAATTTCTCCCATATTTTTAATTATATGAAGGGATACTTTTAATTATATGAAGGGATACCGTTGTGAATCGGCAAAGACCCTTTTTTAAATGGAGGTTCAATTGAAATTACAAAACAGCTAAAACAGCTGACCAATTTTACTTTAAAAATGGCCTGAATATCCCGGGAACAAGACTTAAAACCCGCGCGAGAAAATAACTTTCTTGAACAAATTTAAACTAGCTAAAAAACTGACCAATTTACACAAAATTTTGACTTCGGCACATTATTGTTTAGATTCTTGTTATAATGTATAAATAAAGTTGTTTTACCTGATATTCTCTACTGTATCCACTACTGTCTGTCGTAGAGATCTTCTGGCGGGGGTGTTCTAAACACACACAAATATTACTTAAAAGGACTAAAGTGAGAATTTTAAATGACCCTTCATGCGTGGCATGTCCATTTCCCAACTGTACCTATTTAATCAAGGTTAAGTCGCAGGGTCAATACATGTACATACAGAGTCAATATACATGTACAATGTACATACAGGGTCAATACATGTACATGCATGGTCAATATACATGTACAATGAACATACAGGGTCAATACATGTACATACAGGATCAATACATGTACATACAGGGTCATTACATGCACATTGTACACACAGGGTCAATACATGTACTTACAGGGTCATTACATGTACACACAGGGTCAATACATGTACTTACAGGGTCATTACATGTACACACAGGGTCAATACATGTACATGCAGGGTCATTACATGTACACACAGGGTCAATACATGTACTTACAGGGTCATTACATGTACACACAGGGTCAATACATGTACTTACAGGGTCATTACATGTACACACAGGGTCAATACATGTACATGCAGGGTCATTACATGTACACACAGGGTCAATACATGTACATATAGGGTTAATACATGTACATACAGGGGCTCACGTACAAAAGGTAGAATTACAAAAGGTAGAATGACAGAAGGTAGAACAATCAAAAGGTAGAACGATCAAAAGGTAGAATAAACAAAAGGTAGAATTACAAAAGGTAGAACGTTCAAATGGTAGAATTTTTTTTTATTTTTTGAGAAGGAAGAAAAGTTTCTAATTTTTACAAGAAAATCCGCGATTTTTTAAAAAAAATTCACAAAACTGCATTTCTCGGTTGAATTCAGCATGGAGAGGTTCGTCAACTATGGGGTGAATCAAAAGAAGAAAATGTGGCGGTTATGAAAGTCGTCCTTCTTGGATAATTCTCCGCGGCAGCTGAGAAGACTAGGGGGAGTTTCAAGAGCCACGTAATATATATAAAATCATGTGAATATACCTTATAACTTTTTACCACGTATCTTAGATAAAAATATATAATCAGTTAGTCGTGAACCTTTGTAGTTATTTAGCTGATCGCCAAAAAAAGAACATTGATTGACGACCAGAAATATGAATATAATTTTGAGAAAATTAAGAATGGAACAGAGTTCAGCCAGTGGTGCAAACAGCACTGAGAACGCTCGCAAACAAAAACAGAGAGATAAACGTACTAGGATTAAAAACATGACTGAAATGTATAATAATATCCCCGCACCAGACTATATGAAACAGCTTGCCACAATTATTGGTATGGATTAAAATCATGTACATTTGTAAAATAAAAATTAATCCTAATAAATAAGAAACATTATTTTTTGACTTTTTTTTTGACATTTAAAAAAAATTTAATTTGGAAAATTCTACCTTTTGTAATTCTACCTTTTGTACTGGAGCCCATACAGGGGTCATTACATGTACACACAGGGTCGATACATGTACACAAAGGGTCAATACATGTACATTGTACACACAGGGTCAATACATGTACATGTAGAGTTTGCTTCTACATCAGGAATATATTTTTCTAAAACCATTTTTCCACCTTGAAATAAAATTTGGGAACAATTCAGAAATACGGCAGTACAATAAGTTTCTTAAAAACAAACCTGTCTGTTAGCCTGCTGAGAGCTAGTGCTCAAATCTCCCGAACGCCCCCGCTGAACCCGCCGTGGCGCCTCATTTGATTTGACGGGTATATCGCCGGGTTTACCCGCCTTTATCTTCAGGCCTTCCCAGGAGGTCACCATGTTTTTAGGACGCATTTTCTAAAAAAAAATTCTTAGCTTGAAAAAAAAATATTACAATATTAGTTTCGAAATTCCCGCATTTTATCATACAAACTTTAAAAATTAATGTTGTAAAATGAATTTTTCTCCCCCCCCCCCAGCAAAGAAAAATTTAGGTAAAAAGGTAAAAAATTGGTTTGTGTGTTACTGCAAAGGGTTAAGAAGGGACCGGGGTGAGGGTAAAGTTTTCATAAAAAATACCCCTAATTAACTTTTATTCTACCTGTTTCTCAGGTTCCTGTTGACTGGGTTGCTCTGCAGGTTCAGCAGACTCAGTAACAGTAGGCATAGGAGCAGGAGCAGACTTAAACTCATCCGATATCTTACCTATAAAACACATAATCTATAGATAATAGAATACACAACCTTGAGATATCTTACCTAGAGATATCTTGCCTTAAACACATAACCTAGAGATATCTTTCCTAGAACACACAACCTAGAGATATCTTACCTAGAACAGACAACCTTACCCTTAATAACATATTATTTGTTTACTCATGTAGATTCTTTTTTAATTTAAATAGAATTTTTCTTAAAGTTTCTATCAGCAAAGTTTAAACTTGAACTAAGCCCACGAATAAAATTCTATTGACCTGAAAATATTTGACTAACACGGCTTCCACTCTCCATATCAACATCAAAGAAAGTATCAGCGCTCTAAACAGAAAACAAACAAAACAAAGTAATCATTGAGATTAAAATTTGTTTAATTTTGTCCAATATCGAGAAAGACTTTCATGCCCTTGAAATCTTTGGTTCAGCCCTAATAAGATTTTTGGGTTAGGTTTGGTTAATACAATTTCTGGCTGAGGCCACATGTTCAACATTTCAAATAAGTTTTTTTCAGAAGGGGGGGGGGGGGTGAAGTTAAAAATCTTTCATAAGGAAATTAACATAACTAATTATTAATATTAAGATTACAGTGCTTCGGATCCATTTAATTTTGATGCGGATCCGGATCCTGGATCCACACTGAAAAAAAATGGATCCGGATCCAGGTTATTTCTTTAAAACCTGAATTTTTAACAAAGCAGAATTTTCAAATTTTGTCTATTTTTTTTGCTTATTTTATTATAAAACTTGATGAATCATTAAGAAATCAGGAAATTATTTATAATCTCTTTTTTCAGTTCAGATCTAGGTGAAGAGTTAAAATTTTGTTTGCAATTTTTGGTTCAAATTTCCCCTTGTATCTGGATCCGATTCCGGATCCAGGAACCCAAAATCTTGCAGATCCAACGGATCCGGATCCTAATCACTGAATTACGAATAATCTATATATATAAAGTTGTAATTTTTCTTTGTTTGTTTAGATGTCCGATCATAACTCAAAAACGCCTTGACCAATTTGCCTCAAATTTGGATAAGGAAACCCGGCGAGACCCACGGATATGTTCTCAGTATGGTTCTGAAATTCTAAGTTTACTTTTTAAGGAATAAAAGCCAAACCGTAGTTAGCGACCAATCGCGGGTAAACAGCGGGAGTAACTATAAATAGAGTACCCTGGGCAACGCTATCTATCTACTCTACCTTGTCATCGTCCAGATTAGTGAAATCCACGAACTGTGGAGCTTGAAACTCCCAGGAGGGATCCATATTTACTTTCTAAAACGAGTTTTAAGTAAACAGAATTTTGAGTCTGTCCTAGTGAACGATTTTTGGACCCCCCCCCCTCCTATCAATTTTGTACATGACCAAATTAGTTTTTATTTAGCATTAATTAGGCTTAGGTTAGGTTAAGACACTTTCTGGGCCGAGCGCTGCGGCTAGGATGTGCTAGGGGGCCGAGCGCTGCGGCCACGGGTTAGGTTAGTTAGGACACTTTCTGGGCCGAGCGCTGCAGCTAGGACAGGCTGGGGGCCGAGCGCGGCGGCAACGGGTTAGATGAGGGGGCCTTGGGGGGTTCAAAAATCGTTCTCTAGGAAAATACCAGAATTTTTATTTTTAATTATCTGTCAGGCAAAAATAACCATATTTACAGAAAACATAATTTTCATTAGATATTTTGGTAATTTCCTAGAGAACGATTTTTGGACCCCCACCCCCTATTGATTTGTACATGGATCTCATGTATAGCACATGATAAAAATAGTCATGTGGTCGCAGCACCCGGCCCCCTAGCCGGTATATTCCTAGAGAACGATTTTTGGCTAAATAAAACAAACAATTTAAAAATGTTACTAAAGTGTNTAGCCGCAGCGCTCGGCCCAGAAAGTGTCTTAACCTAACCTAAGCCTAATTAATGCTAAATAAAAACTAATTTGGTCATGTACAAAATTGATAGGAGGGGGGGGGGTCCAAAAATCGTTCACTAGGACAGACCCCCCTAGCCTGTCCTGCCCGCGGTGCTCGGCCTCCTAGCCTGCCCTAGCCGCAGGGCTCGGCCCAGAAATTGTCTAACCTAACCTTGCCTAACCCTAAAATAATAAAAATGAATAATAGTAATATTTCTGAAAAAATAAGTAGTCATGCACAAAACTGATAGGGGGGGGGGCAGGGGCGGTCCTAAAAGCGTTCTCTAGGACAGACCCGAAATAATTTATATTTCACAATTATTCGTGTTTCTGGATTCATATTTTGTAAATCAAGACAACAGCTGATGATGAAAAATCCGTTGAACAAATTAAATTCTGTTTCAAAGATTTAATGAATCAAATAGCCGTTTCAGTTGTGAACGGAAATTAACATAATAAATGTAACTTTTGGCAATTTCAAAAATTGGGTGGGGGTTCTTTCGTTATTGTGAAATTTCAGTCTAACAGTCTAACTCTTAAGCTGCTTAACTGACGATATTTGGTGAAATGGCGGTTTATCTTTGAGTTTAAATGAGAGCGAGAATGCCGCTGAAGCTTAAATTAGTTGCTGGGCTCCCGCCCAATTACAAAGACGATTTTAATTACATACATAGATTGGGTAATGTTGATCCGCTCTACTGCCCATCCGTCCTATTGCCCATCCGCTATACTGCCCATCCGACCTACTGCAACATCTGACCTACGACAGTTTTTCGTAGGTCGGATGGGCACTTTTTGTAGGTCGGATGGGCATTTTTCGTAGGTCGGATGGGCATTTTCTACTACACATTCGACCTACTAGCACGTGGAGCTGCTATATGGACTGGTGGCCGCTGCAGCGTCATATCTCCCTAGTCTGTCCTAGCCGCAGCGCTCGGCCCAGAAATTGTCTTGCATTTGTTTCTAAATAGCCCTTTTAAAGGAAAGAAAACAGGCTAAATCTATCTTGAAAAACTGTAATGCGTGATAAGTTAAAAATCTATTTTTTTAGTTTTCATTTAAATTAATTTTGACCCTTATTGAGTTTTTCAAGTGAAAATTTTTTCGTCATCATTCATTTTTTTTGTTATAACTAGTAAATACTTTCATATTCATTTGGACAGCCAAAGAGTATAGTTAAATATAGTTTTCTCATAACATATTTCCCATCCGATCTATATTATAAAACAAGACATTTGTATATATGTTCCCTCTGGTTGTCCAAACGGCTAGACCGAATGGGCTGACATTCTGGGGGTGACATAGGCTAAATAAAATTGAATTTTTTTTTATTAATAGCACCGGAAACGTCGGGCACTTCAGATATATAGTAATCATAAAAATCAGAGATGAATGTTGTCACTGCATTCCAATGTTTTCTAAGACACTCTGTACAGTAAACATAATCATAATATAAGATATTATGTATTATAGATATGACATAATGTCCCCCCCTTTTATAAAAATATAAGATATTATGTATTATAAATATGACATAATGTCCCCCCCTTTTATAAAATAAAATATAAGATATTATGTATTATAAATATGACATAATGTCCCCCCCTTTTATAAAAATATAAGATGTTATGTATTATAAATATGACATAATGTCCCCCCTTTTATAAAAATATAAGATATTATGTATTATAAATATGACATAATGTCCCCCCCTTTTATAAAAATAAGTTTCCCAAGAGATATAGGATAAATTTGAGAGCTATTAATCCAAGTGTACAAGAACATTTATCCCACTTTATTGGATTAAATACAAAGGAACTTTTCACAGAGTACTTTTCTTTTAAGGAATTTAAACTTGACAAAAGAACTGTCATTTTATAACATTTTTATCATTGCACTGTATTGCATGGAGATGATAAAAAGTATTCCCAAAATGACATGACCAGAACTGAAAACTTTAGAATCGCATTGATATCAAGATCATTGCTTGATTGCCTCTTTTTATTAATCTCCAGATTAAATAATACCCGTTCTCCTCTTGTTATTAATCTCCAGATTAATTAACAGATCGGGATTAAGGATATCCCATTCTAAAGTTTTCACCTCAGGTTCAGTTTTACATCCCATGTTGCCAGTACCATATCAATACATAATGTTAGAGAATTTATCATGTTTTATGGGAATATTAATAGTAGGGTTTCTGTTATTCTAAAAAAATCCATTATTCAAATTCCGTAATGTGGAAGTTAGGGATAACTCCGGATGAAATGAAAACCGGAAAAAAGGTGTTAAAACTTTCCCTAGGGTATTTAGAAAGATAAAAATTTCCCCAGAATAAAATGATTTGAAATGCTTCTATACAAATACTAAGTATTTTTGTTTCAAACTAAAATTTAGTTTGCCAAATATTGTATGAAGAATCTTTCCTGCTTTCTGATAGATTTGACTTTGGCATATTTAAGAAATATCTGCTCGACAAAAAGCAATATTTATCATTACTTATTTTGACTTAAGCTCTCAAATAAATGAATATAGAAAAAAATTTGTCACTTGAAGAAATTTTTAGAAAGATATTTGCAATTAATTCAGAAAAAAAGTTTTATCGAAAATAAAACTAATTTTGGCGTTTTAAAAAATATGCCAAAAAAATCATTTCTCACACCCCTAGGCTTAGTAAAGCTTACAATTCACCAAAACCATACTCCTTCAATTATTAAATATAGGGAAATTTCAATCTTTCTAAACATCCCAGGGTTGTAAACCTAAAATTTCTTGTTTTCCACATTGAAGTTTATCTGGGTCTCCACTCTCTTTTCTACTCCTCATTAAAACTTTTGAATTTAACATTTTTAGGAACTATCATTTATATTTTCTTAATTTTGTTGTTAAGATAATGTTCTTTTGTTTGCACAATCAACGGTTTTCCCAATTTTCCTCCGTATATTCTCAAATATTTTTTATCTAAAATTCGGTGATGGCGATGGACCAAACCTCTGAAGAGAAAAAAAAAGTAGATGCAAGTTTCACATTTTATTAAAAATATATTTCGATCTGGGTTGACCCTCCTCAGTTCTTGAGATTGTTTCTGTCATAAAGATTAAAAATTCAAAAAATTCAAAATGCTAGAGCTATTCAATAATATATCTGGTTTATCATTTACATAATTCTAAGATGTTTTAATTGTTAGTCCGGAAAATTCCGGTAATCCAGTAAATATTTTGGACAGTTTTTTTCCAGAATAATTTCTATATGTTCCGAAATTCCAGAACAGAGTTACTGGAATTTTCTATTTGAAGGGAAAAATTATTTGGAATTCCGGAAACTATCCATTTGGAAAGATAAAAAATTTGGATAATTTCTGTATGTAACCTGTAAACCGGAGTTCCGGTGAAAACTCTCATGTTTAAACAGGAAACATACGAGGGTCCGTCGGGACATTAAAGTGGGTTTGACAAAATTTAAAGGAATTGAGTCGAGTCGGAATGAGGAAGGATTAAAAGTGGTTATTTAATTCATTGGGGTATTATTTTTCTCCTGATTTATAATAATAAGACAAAAAATGCTTTGCTGGAATGTATTTTGAATAATAAACAAAATTTTCGGATTTTTTTGGTTGGTGTTGGTGGGGGGGGGGAGGGGTGGTAGGACTTTAACTTCAAAGTTTGTTTTGATAATTATTCTTTAAAAAGTCAAAGCGCAAAAAATAATGTTTGTATAAGAAAAAAGATCATCTAGATGAAGCGAGTTGAGATAGAGATTTACATCAAAAGATATGGAAGAAAAGAAAATTGATTCGTTATGTAATTTGATTTATTCTTTGAAGATTCATTTTGTGTCTTAAATATATTGTGTTATAGGATAATTTTTCCCTGATATACTCTCATATACTTTTTTGACTGATATATTCTCAAATACATTTTTGTCTGATATATTCTTATATGCATTTTTGTCTGATATATTCAAATATACACTTTCGTCTGATATATTCTCAAATACATTTTTGACTTATATATTCTCATATACATTTTTGACTGATATATTCTCATATACATTTTTGACTGATAAATTCTCATATACATTTTTGACTGGTATATTCTCATACACATTTTTGTCTGATATATTCTAATATACATTTTTGACTGATATATTCTCATATACATTTTTGTCTGATATATTCTCATATACATTTCTGTCTGATATATTCTCAAATATATTTTTGTCTGATATATTCTCATATACATTTTTGTCTGATATATTCTCATATACATTTCTGTCTGATATATTCTCACATACATTTCTGTCTGGTAATTTCTCATATAAATTTCTGTCTGATATATTCTCATATTCATTTTTGACTGATATATTCTCAAATACATTTCTGTCTGATATATTCTC